CAATCATACGTGAGCAGAGTAAACAGGAGGGGGCTCAACACACATCCACACACACACCACCAACAAGAAGCAAACTGAACGATACAGTTCTTCAGACAATTCTTCCAGAAGCAGAGATGGTAAAATACAGGCTACCCCTTGTTAGTCTCATGGACATTTATGTGTACTCTAGTACTTACACACTAACAGAAATCTGGATCAACTTTAGAGTCGGAGTCAGAGATTCTCTGTTGCCACATGTGGTGGAACGACATTATGTTCACAGGGTCCCAGTTACATCCAACAATAAAATGTAAAGGAAAAACAGTAACAACATCTAAGATATGAACTAAGAAAAACATCAACTAAAAATACACTAAGCACTAAGAGCATAAAAACATTACGGCGAACAGCAGCACGAACATGAGTCTGTGTGAGCAGATGAGCACGCATCAATCAATGAAACTTTATTTATAGAGCCCTTTCCAGCAGCCAAAAGGTGCACAAAGTGCTGCACAGCACAGAAGTTAAAAACAAACAAGAATAAAAAAAGCTGCCACTTCAAAACAAAAACAATTACAATTAAAACATAGCAAAATTGTCAAAGAACTGCTAGGTATTAAAAGCCTGCCTGAATAAAAAGGTTTTAAGATTAGATTTAAAATGCTCCATGTCAGTGATGGAGCGCAGGTCCTGAGGTAGCTGGTTCCAGAGTCTGGGTGTGACAACCGAAAAGGCCAGGTCACCCCATCGTTTATAGTTGGACTTTGGGACAGAGAGTAGACATGTATTAGATGATCTCAGTGTTCTCCTATATTCACGGACAGCTACAAGATCAGTCAGATACAGTGGGGCAAGACCATTGAGAGCTTTAAAAGTGAATAATAAAATTTTAAATTTAATTCTAAAATCGACTGGAAGTCAGTGGAGAAAAAACAAAACGGGTAATGTGCTCACGTCTGGAGGTGTTGGTACTATGCATTAACACATCAACATGAAACGGATCAGCAGCAACATGAAACGGATCAACAGCAACATGAAACAGATCAGCAGCAACATGAAACAGATCAGCAGCAACATTTAAACAGATCAGCAGCAACATGAAACGGATC